GCCCCGTGCCCCTGTTCCCCCCTGCCCACTGATAATCCCAGCCCTGGAGTCCTGCTCCCCCTGGAGAAGCCCCCATTCCAGTCCCACCATGGACCCCCTCCCGGCAGTGCCCCGGCATCAAGCCCCTGTGCCTGGACCTGGCTGACTGGGAGGCTACGGAGGCGGCGTTGGGCAGCGCGGGGCCGTTCGAGCTGCTGGTGAACAACGCGGCCATCGCGCAGCTGCAGCCCTTCCTGGAGGTGACCCGGGACGCCCTGGACCGGTGAGTGCCCACGGGGGTGGGTCCCCATGGCCACAGTGCTGCCCGGGCCCACTCAGGTCTCAGTGCTGAGACCGGCTCTGTGCTGACCGTAACACGCGGCAAAGCTTTTCCAAAACCCTTACCTGGTAGGAAGGGAAGTTGCTGTTGGGTCAACACCGATGTCTGCACACGTCCGCGGAACAGCCATCGTATGTGCTTTCTTGGTGCTTCGTTGGTTGCTTCTGGTTCTGATTCCTTTACTAAAAGTAATCACCTTTCACCCTGTTTTTGAGCATTAGAAAGAAGTTGAGTGAAGCACAGAGGCTCTTCCGTGCTGTTACCGAGTAGCCAGACCTTTGTGCCTTTGCCCTTTACACGGCAAGGCACCACGAGCCGAGCTGGGCCTTTTGCTGGTGTCCAAGCTGTTCATCCAGATTGTCCAGGCTAGTACTAACCCAACACAAATGTCGACAAACCAATTCAGTTAGAGAAGACAAAGCTAGGTAAAGGTATACAAAAGACTGAGGAAAACTAAAATCACTTATTTTCTTCAACAACAAAGTATCACGATGGATCAGGTTTTGTCCCTTCACTAAAAATGGCACATGTGCTGCTGTATTAAAGAATTACTTGATTTGTAGCTATATCACAAAACGCAGAGGTTCTACTTAAATCATTGCATAGAACAGGCTGGTAACAGTCTAAGGAAGGATTATTTAACAAAGACAAGAAATGCTGTTTCTATTTATTTGTTGCTTAAAGACTGGAGAAGGTTTGATTGGTCTAAGAGGAGGCATTGGCTCAGGCCCAGGCCTCTGGTTAAACTTTAATGATGGTACAAGATCAGTCTGTTGAAGAACAGAGTCCTGATAGAAGGAAGCAGACTGCATGGCTCCCTCTGCATAGGAAAAGAGGCCACTGAACAGCTAATGAATGGTTAGTGCTGAAAGGGGGTGTAATTCTCCTTACTAGCTAGTTATTCCTATCTATGTTCTAGATTTTCATCCAGTGTTTCCCAGGTGCTAGCAGCACTTGTCCTCTCCTGCCTCCCAGAACAATTCCTGGCCTGGGCTGCAATTGCTCTGTAACTTTCTGATTTATTTGTAGGTCTCTTGATGTGAATTTTCGGGCTGTGCTTCATGTTTCCCAGGTGAGGAGGAATTTTAACTACAGTTATCTCAGTCACTGTTGCTCTAAGTTGTTCAGCAGAGCGGAGATAAGCCCTAAATCCAATGTTAAAACCTGACAACTTGTGCATATTGTCCCTTTTCACTCACTCTGACTGATACACATGCACACACTCTCTCTTTTTCTCTCTCTAACACGCTCTTATTTCAGAAAGTATAAGCCCACTAGGAATATTTCTTGATCTTTTTGGCTTTCTTGTCTACTGTAATATTCCAGGATGATTCCTCCTGAACAGAATGGCGATTTCTCCCTCTCTGATTCTGGCACCTCTTTGTTTCCAGATTGTTGCCCGGCAGATGATTGCACAGGGAGTGCCAGGTGCAATTGTGAATGTCTCTAGCCAGGCATCTCAGCGTGCTCTGCGGGATCATGCTGTCTACTGTAAGTGCGTGTAGCTTTGGCACTGCCTCTCTCATCTTTGCTCACAGCCACCCAGATGCTGGCTGCCAATTTTGGGCACAGTGAATTACCTCTGTGCGATCCAGACCAAGTGCTGTACACTAAAAATGCCTCGTTTTAACTCTCTACTGAAGGTTCTACAAAAAGTGCTTTGGATATGCTGAGCAAGGTAATGGCAATGGAGCTGGGACCCCACAAGGTAGGATTTTTTCTGTAAGAAAAGTGGAAGCTGAACAAGTATGAGCAGTTCCTCTCAGAGCAGCCTAGTTACTTGGTGTGTTTGTTGTTCTTGGTCCCAGATTAGGGTGAACACTGTGAACCCCACAGTTGTTATGACTGACATGGGGAGAATTAACTGGAGCGACCCTCAGAAATCTGCTGCCATGATTAGTCGCATCCCGCTGGGAAAGTTTGCAGGTCAGTGGTGTGGATTTGTTACCAGGCTCAGCCCTTTGTCACAGCCAAGATTTTCCCCTAACTGGCATCACAGCCATAGGTAACTTGCTTATTTTGTGGGCAGAACTCGCTCAGTTTAGGACAGTTTAGGCAGAATGCACTTTTTCTACTCTTTAGAACTATGAGTGGCAGGGGAAGTGTGTAGGTGCTTGCTGTGAACTAAGTTATCTATCCTGTGATTGCAGCAAGGACGTAACCAGCTGCCCTGTGTATCAAACCAAGTACAGCCCCAAGAGAGAGGTTCTTTTCTGTTTCAATTACCTTTAGAGGCCAAAACATACCTTTTGGGATGCTTTCTTTGTCTAGTACCATTTCAGATGTTCTCTGTGTGTTTGATTCCAGAGGTGGATGATGTTGTGAACAGCATTCTCTTCCTGCTCAGTGACAAGAGTGCTATGACAACTGGCAGCTCATTGATGGTTGATGGGGGATTTCTTGTCTCCTAAGATGACACATTCATTTCACGCCTGGCATTAATTTTCATACTAATACTGCATAGATGTAAACTGGATGGAAAACAGTTAAGTGGCACAGACCCCGTGTTGCAGGAGAGGAGGGGCAGCAGGGTTGGGACCTGTGTAAGAAGTGAGGCAGAAAATTACCCTCAGGAGACTTCTATATAATAAAGCTCACATACGCCGTCATGGAGAATGTTTATTGCACCAAATAAGGTTTTGTCTTTTCACTCTACATGATGATTAGAAACTGGACTTGTCTTTGTTCCAACCCTCTCCCCCCACCACCCTTTGGAAGCTCTCCCTGTTCCAACCAAATCCATAGAGTCCACCTTCACTTTGAGTGGGAAGGGAAGGGAGAAGCTAGCAGACTCCTCACTGCTTCCTTCACTGTCTTTAGTAGAAAAACAAAACAAAAGAGAGGCAACAACCTCAGCCCTGCTCTGCAGAGACTGGATTGCAGGGGGGGAGGCCCTGCTAAAGACTGATGAAGAGGGAGCAGCACGACGCTGTCCTACAATGTGCGCACGTTAAAAGGCAAATACATTGACTGCACAGGGCTGTTTCACTCACTGAGTTTGGTTAGCACCCAATAAAGCACCGAATGATTAGTACTTCATCCTTGCATCTCGTTCATTTTTGACCCTTTCAAGAGCTGATTTTGATCCTGTAACAGTCTCAGGCACATGTCTGCTAGAGCACTGATGTGTTAGCTGCAGCAGGCTGGGTAAGGAGCCCCTACTACTCTCCTAACTGCTCTTGTCACTCAACACCTTTTATAGGGGCTCCTTCCCTGCTCCCACAATGATCTTCACCACCTGCTTCATCCTGCACATATAAAACAGCTGTTTCCTGCACAGGGTGGATGTCTCAGCTCTTTCAGCTTGGAGTTCTGGAAAGCCACAATAGCCTATTGCCCCAAGGAGCCACCTTGCCTTCCCACTGTACCTCCCCTGGGGGCTCCAAAGCCCCCCAGCTAATCTCCTGCCCCCACTGCCCCTTCACATCAACACTGACGTCAAATCAAAGAGACATTTAAAAAACACTGACTTCGTACATGATGAAGGGCCCTACGCATCCCAGCCCCCTCCAGAAACACTCAGCTAATACGCAATCTGTCGGAGGACAACAACATGCTGAGCCAACACCCAGGCCACAGCCCTCAGAACACGGTGCACTTTTTGCCAGGTTTCTTCACAGGCGGTGGGCACAGCACAGCCCGGATAGCTTCATCAAACACCGTCTTCAAGCCCCGCTGCGTCAGGGCAGAGCACTCGAGGTACTTTACCGACCCTAGGGGAAAGAGAGCTCCATCTCAACCACTCCAGTCCTACCAGGTAACAGCATCCCTCACCCAGTCAGAAAAGGAAAACAAGCAAACAAACACAAAACCCTCAGCCTCGTGGGGATTTGCCATCACATTCAACTTACCAATCTCACGAGCCATGGCCAAACCTTGGGGGTAGGTGATAGGGGCCAGTTTCTTATCACGTAGCCTTTCAATGGTGTCCTTATCATCCCTCAAGTCCAGCTTGGTGCCCACCAGAATAATAGGTGTATTTGGGCAATGGTGTCGGACCTCAGGGTACCACTGAAAAAAGAGAACAGGAGTTGTGGCAGGAGATGCAGCCACACAGATGCTTTTACTATCGAGAGTATGGCTTTGGGTAATATCTGAAATTTTAGCAACACCTGAACAGGTGACTTTTGCCTACAATTCTGAATATGCTCTATGGCAAGAGACTGGTGTAGATGTGATAAGAAAGGCATAGAGACAGGGAATCACAACGGACAGTATCTGCCAGCTCTGCACACTCTGATTCCCTTTACTCCATTTTTCCTTCTAGAACATCCCATCCCTTATCTTCTTTAACACTCAGATTCCAAAAAGCAAAGAATTAGCCAAAGAACTCCTTAATACAAGTAAGTCCTTTAAACCCTCCACATTAGGAGTCTCCCTCTCATACCATGTACGCAATGAACTCACTCACTCTCTCTCATTTTCAAAAAAAAAAAAAAAGTGTCAGAGATTATGGAATTGTAAGTGTAGTGCTGAGTGGGACATGAGACTTCACTGCCACCTCCCCTCCATTGTTTCCCTGGCAGAACACATTACCTTTGCTCTGACATTCTCGAAGGAAGCTGGACTCACAAGGGAGAAGCAGATCAAGAAAACATCCTGTGTGGAAACAAGGGAGTCAGACATGTGGAAAGGAACAGCTAGAGATAATGGAGGGAGGGTGGAAAGGGAGCCTTACAGAAAACAATGTCCTTTCACCAGTGAGGACCGTAGCTGTAATAAACTGTTACCTCTTCAGGGGACAAAATAACTCACAGAGGACAGAGGTGTATGACTTCATCTTGATGCACAATATTGGGCCCTACACATTAAGAGCTTGTGGTCACAAATACCTTAGCTGTGATATGCTTTTTTCCACCTGATGGAGCACATGCAATCACTACAAGCAGTACTACCACTGCAGACTGTAGCAATGTGTGTCATTGAGAAAAAAAAAAAATGGAACCATGAATATTGTTTGGCTGCATAAAAGCAGTGTTCCTTGCCCCAGACCCTGCCAATTGCATGTGTTGCTGTTCAAACCCCATTACAATGTAGGGACTAGAATGGCACGATTTGCTGGGAGAATTTCAGATGTGATCCTCCTTAAACAATCAGAATTTTGGCCACCGCTGCAGGAACTTAGACTTGCCTTAAAGGAAAGCAGTCTGCTTACAATCTGTCTGTCCTTGGAAACTGCCCTGTCCCCAAAAAGGAGCAATTGGAAATCAGTCCAAGCCCAACACTCACCGTTTGTGGGTAAGAAAGAGGCCGCAGTCGGTCATAGTCCTCTTGCCCTGCTGTATCCCAGAGGCCTAGGTTCACTGGCTTTCCATCTACCATGACATTGGCAGAATAGTTATCAAACCTGCCAACGAATAATCCTCATTAAATGCCAATCTTGTTAAGATCCACACGTGACTTGCATGAAATCCATGGGGAAGGTGAATCAGGAGGGGACACTGGAACCCAGTTCCAGTGTGTCAGGGTGTACTCTGCCACTCCACTCTACAGCCAAACACCACTGGCACTGTCCTCACACCTGCAGTTCACACCTTGAGCACGTACAGTGTTCTCTCCACTGACAAAATCTACTTTTATACACGTACACATAGTGAGCAAAACGCGGTGCTAGTACTCACACAGTGGGGATGTATTCTCCAGGAAAGGCATTCGTGGTATAGCTGATCAGCAAGCAGGTCTTCCCTACAGCTCTGCAGAGGATGAAAGGGACAAGCATAAAGACAGGCACAGCAAGAAGCAATGAAGAAGAAAAACTTACCCTTTCCCTTACCCCAAAAAAGGATTAGGCAAAAAGTTAATGTGCGAGGAAACAGATCTGTAATGGGGGGAATTCCCTGCCTGCCAAGGACTGTGCCTGAATCCACCCCATGCACCTCGCACCTGACCCTGTGCTTTGGCTCCTTTTGCCCAGCCCTCCAGGCCCAGCAAAGGGCCAGGGAAAATGCTTTTATTTCAAGAACCAAGAGGGGGAATAAATTGGGGTTCTGTGCTAGGCTTGATTCTGCTCAACATATCCAAAATAATCTAGCAAAATAAACAAACAGTGGAGGAAAAAATATCGGTAAATCAGTATTATGCAAGCTCCTCAGATATAGGAATTCGATGAGAGTAAACACAAATGGAAAAAAAATTGGGTACACATCAAGCTCCTCAGATATAGGAATTCGATGGGAGTAAACACAAATGGAAAAAAATCAGGTACACATAAACAAACTTTAAATTGAGTACTATCACTTTGGAAAGAAATGTTGGCATCAGTGTAGATCACTAAATTATCATGCAGGATTTACTGAAGGAAGGTGAGACTGATGGCCCCAGTGGTGACATTGGCATCAGTGTAGATCACTAAATTATAATACAGGATTTACTGAAGGAAAGTGAGACTGATGGCCCCAGTGGTGACACCTGACATGGGTGGAACCTGGCTGACAACAGATTTAACACATCAACTTTTGTTAACCTACAGGATAAGGGAGCAGCTTAGGTACAAAAATAGTAGAATATTATGAAAATTTATCACTGTGAAAGTTGCGAACCGTGGAGAACTTTCCAAAGGAGCAGACTGCGAGCAGCAGCAGCAGGACTGCTGTCTGTGGGGTTCCCGAGCGACTCGGAACAGCCAGCTGAGAATCAGGTTTTCTCTGACCAGTTCCAAAACTGAGGTAACGTGGAGAGGAACCCCGAGGTCCTACAGCAGAACTGCACAGAGCGGCTTCAACCACTGCACTGCCTGATGTGTGCTTGCCCCTGGGCTGTGTGCCCTCTCCTCTGGAAAAGGGCAGTTGTGTAAGGAACCACCCGGCTGATCTGCTCGGTTCTCCTGGTCCTCTCTCCACGGAACAGGGGATTCATAGAAGTTGCACACATCTGCGATCAAAGCATTTTGGTAGCTGAGTTCATTTAGCTAATTTGGTTTTCACCTATGACACCAGCTTGCAAAGCCTTAGCTGGGGTCCTTGCTGCAGTGACTGGAAAAACAAACGGAATTTTCGGCAATATTAGGAAGCACGTGGAGGACAAGCAGCAAGAAGTTCCCAAGCACGTGAGCTGCACAGCCCGGGCGTGCTCTGCACAGAGCCCCGTGGAAGCACCGGGCTCGGGGACAGCGAGAGGCAGGCGGGGAGCAGCAACGCGCGGCACCGCGGCCACCTCCGGACAACAAAAGGGACCGGAGCCCGGGAACACTGCGGTTTTAGGGAGCTCGCTGCCACGCACCATCGTACGGGGGAAAACTGCGAAGGGAACCGAGAGCCCAAAGCAGCGGGTGCTTGTTTTCCACGCACGACACCCGCAGAGAAAACACGCTCCTGTTGAGGGCCGGACACCGAGCGGGGCCGGGGGCACCTGATGCTCCCGCCGCCGGGGCCGCTGGAGCGGGCC